GATGCACAGTGTAGACGAGGGCATTCGATGTCAGTGACCAGAGAGGATGCACAGTGTAGACGAGGGTGTGTGATGTCAGTGACCAGAGAGGATGCACAGTGTAGACGAGGGCGTGGGATGTCAGTGACCCAGAGAGGAGCACAGTGTACAGGGGGGCGTGTGATTCTAAAAGTGCTTGTGGGTTCTAGAATTTAATATTAGCATTTTAGAACTTCTACTTTAAGGATTATTTACAAATGCTACAAAGTGGCAAGAGAGTTCCTTTTCTCTAAGAGTCCAGTGAATGAGGTGAGTGCTGTGTACTTTACAGCAGTTATAAATAAGTGGAATTTAGACCCGAGGAGATTTTACAATGGTAGAATTTCCATTTTCTTTCATGGAAACTAGCTTAAGAGGTGGCTTTCCAAAGTCACTTCCTAGGACAGAATTAAACCTCTTCAACTCTCCATAACTTGTTTCTTCTGTTTCAAATGAGGATGTCTCTCCAGTGCATAGAGTCCGTTCACCAGACACTCAGGGACTCGCAGGGCACACCAAGCACGAGGCTGCAGTTTGCAGGGAGGTGCACAGAGGAAGGTCGGATTTCTGCTCTTGGGGTGGGGGTCCCACAAGCAGTAATTAGGGTAAAAGGGTGGAGGCACAAATTGAGAAACCCACACATAGTAGAGAGCCGGTTGGGGGGTGAGAGAGGGAGAGAAAATGAACGAGGAGAAATGACCTGCTCTCTCAGGATGCGAAGGAGAGAACCACGGTGTCGAGAAGCAGAGGGTGGAGCTCAGAGCCGGGATCAGAATGAAAGCAGGACCAGAGTTACAGGTGTGGCTGAGACAATGCAAAGGGAAGGGAGTGGTCTCGCCGAGGGCAGAGATGGCAGCACAGTGGGATTTGAGGACGGTGGGGGCGGGGCCCCTGGGAGCCCAGCTCTCAGCCGGTGGGTTTGTCACCCCAGAGGGGAACGCCGCCTCCGGTGGTGAGATCGGTGGAGTCAAGAGTATTCCAAGTTTCTTTGCTGGGAGTTTCAGGGAACGTCTTTTACTAGAGTGTGGTGTTTGATTGGTTTTTTGAAAAAGCAGGTCTTTTAAAAGTTTTATTAGAGGGGACAGATCTAAGTGAAGTAGACCCCAGCTTTGCGGTGGCCCTCGGGCTCAGCCGGGCGGCGAGGGAGGTGACCGCTGCCGGCAGGGGGCCCGGCGTTGAGACTGTCAGACACAGAGTCCCGAGGAAGAAACGTCTGCCCAGTTCGTCTAAAGGGCCGTGTCCAGCCCCAGGCCTGCTAAGGGATCTGCTGCTGACAGACATACGGCCTGAGTGTGGCGCACCCCCCACCTGCTGTGCTGTGTGGTCCCTCCAGCTCCACCGCTGGCTCTGCGTGAAAGGGGGACACAGGTTGTCAAGGAGCAAAGAAGACCCGTCACGAGCAGGGGGTTCCTTACTCCACGAATGTTCCCCTGTCAAGCGCTGGACGGAAATCACCTTCCTTTTCGCAGCTTCCTTGGAAGTAAGCGCTGTCCTTCCACGTTACAGCTCAGCAAACTGAGACCTAAAAGACCTGATAAGGAGCTTGGCCAGGCCCCCTGGCGGGTCCGATGTCTGGTTGAGGTTTGAATCTTAGTCTTTCTGATTCGCGAGGGCCCGCTTATCACACAGTTTTGTGTGGCCTGTAAAACACGCTGTGATGAAAGTGAAGGAAAACGGTAGGAAGATGAAAGGATTCACACAGGTGTCTTTTTAAAAGAATAAAATCCAATCATACATTGAAAATACTTCCATTTGTACACGTTTCATGCACGCAGGTGTTCTCCGTGAAGTTTCAGATCGCAGACTCCTAGGCGAGTAAGTGACAGCACCATACACGCCCCCGCCCTTTTCTCTTTTTCTTTTTTTGTCCTGTTTTACAAGCTGGCGAGCTCGAGCGTCCCAGCTCCCGCGGGCATCGTGCCACTGTTTCCTCGCGAGGAGGATGTCAGAGAGGAAGGGCTTCAGGCCCAGAAGCCCTTCCCCGCCCCCCCCAGCTCCGTCTAGTCCCAGACCCCTGGCACCTGGAACAGGTTTCCAGAAGTGCATCTCCTGGACTCCCTTCCAAGAGGTGTACTCGAATGCTCATTCCTGTGGTCAGCAGCCTCCCCTCCGTCCGCCCGGCACTTTCGGGGCCCCATTGCTGGAGGACGTTTCGTTGCGCGGCCAAAGTGGCGGCTGTAGGAACAGCCTCATCTCTGCGTTCATTACTGGACAGTGGTTTTCTTGTCAGTCTCCAGTCCTGGTAGCGTCCAGGTAGACGTCAGAAATGGCGGTACTTCCGCACTACAAGCTGCACATTCCTGTCGTAAGGAAAGTGTCTTCGCGCTTGTAAGGTGCCTTCCCCAGCAAGCCCGGAAGGGAACACAGAAATACCGACAGGTGTGCAGCACCTGACTGCCACCTCGGTACCTTTCAACACGTGGGACTCCTGACAACGCAGGGCAGGAGACGAGGTCCCTGAGGTCTGACGAGCAGGCCTGCTGGAGGAGGTGCGGGACTGCAGCTTCAGGAGTGGGGAGCCCTTCCAGAGGTGGAGGGCGAGCCTTCTGGCCTGAGAAAGCAAAGCACACCCCAGCGCGATGTCTTCCGTCACCCTCAGAACGTCCTCTACTCATCAGATTAACAGCCCGTTTCCAACGTTCCGCAATTACCTGCTTGGCACCCTGCTAAACAGAATTACTCTGGAAGGATAAGCTGTCTGAAAGTCTGTGGCTTTATTACAAATTCACTGCAATAGTCACTCAACATCACAGGTATTGTAAATGAGAAACCAGCAAGTTGCACGTGACCTTAAGATTTTTATCCACCCAGACGTCCTCATTTTGTTTAAAAAAGGTAAATTCCAGAAAGGTTAAATAACTTACTCGGAGCCCACACTTGCACAAACACAGTGACATTACTCAGCGTCCACCCCGTGACAGCCAGGCCATGACGTGTGGGTTAATTATCGCAGGTGGAGAAACCAGAGCGTCTCCTAACGCCTGCTTCACTGCCCACGAATGTTGCCTCAGACGCTTGTTTGAATGCGAATGAAAAAATATACTCGAAAAAAAAAGGCCGAGCAAGAGCAGGCTTGTTATTACCCACCATGAAACGCGTGCCCCCGCCCAGGCTCCCCGAGGCTGTAGCTCCCACCCTGGGCGGGGCGCGCAGCCTCCTCTCGGGACCCTGGTCCAGCCGCTCGCATCCTGCCCTCGGGTGG